ACGTTGGAGGTGATTGTGTGAGGAAGAAATGAAATCTAATGGGTAGTTGTGAAGCCGTGTTTGGAGGAGTGCAGAGAAGAGAGTGAAATTGTGACATGCTACTGAAGCTGTATGTTTCACTATGTACTCAGAGGCCAAGTTATAATAATAAAGATTTACGCTGTTTATAACTGACTATTATTTTATGAGATATGTTTTCGTGACATTGTAAAGCGATGGGAAGTTTTTCATTTTAATAACTTTTGGCTAACATGAGTTTACTCACATGAGATTACAGAAATATGTGTGCATGAAAAATAGCCGGATTGTTTTTCATTATACCACAATTACTAATATAAAGGCTTAAGCTGGTTCCCATTATGGATTGATATCCGTTTGAGAACCAATGAAAAGCTGTGTTGACTGTACGGATGCTTCATCCTAGAGTTGATACCATCAACGATGTGAAGTCGTCACGCAATGGCGTAAACTATTTTGGATGTGGGTCCTGCTAAATTACAAATTGGAATAAGAAGCAAAATGAACACCATTGAATTCTGACTCAGTGCCTCTGTGATAATGTATTCATTCCAAAGCCTGAAGGACATGTCTTCGATCCTTGGAGGTCATGAGTGCGCACTAGAGAGAAGACCCACTCACGAACAAAACAGCTGTCCAGTACTCCCAGGTTTCCAATACTCCCCCAAATAATGTCAGTCTGTTATGAGTTCCGATCTTAAATAATTAATATATGTTGCATCAGAAGTGTTTTTGCACGAATTAACCAACACTGCTTGATTCTACAGTTTCTTTCTTTAAAGCAATTAGGCTGCACTATATGCTATTGATCACATTCTATCTTACTGTTACTTAGATATTTGTTAGTAATATAACTGCATAGTTGTTAATATACATCAAGATTGAATTACTTGCTTCGTTTCATCTCTTTTAAAGTTCTTTCATCTGTGAATATAATTTCATGTACCATATTTTTTCCGGTTATTCTATTTTACATGACCAATTGTATATCAAGAAACAAAGAGTCGTAAAACGTATGCGTAAATGTAATGAATTTACAGAGTTGTAGCGTAATAAACTAGACTGGAAGCACGCAACTGTATCTGTGAAACCAATATCATTTACTTTTTAAAAATCTAACTGGTACTTCTTATATTATTACTATTTTTCCCTTGAGTACCTAGTGGAACATACCGCTTCAGTAGCACGTCACTATTTCACTCTCTTCTCTTCAGTCTTCTCAACCTGGTACTATGAATACCCGCAAGTCTTCATTTCTTCCTCACACCATCTCCTCCATGTCACCCTCACCTCGGATGCCCAACTCTTCGTTTCCCCTTTGGATTCCACTCAATGGCCTGGCCTGTAGCGTAATATCCCCAATCGGCCTTCTTCGTGTATGCCCAATCCAGTCTATCTCCACTATCTTCTGCATATTTGTTGGGTGATAGCTTCTTCGTTGGTTCGTCGCCAGCCACAGTCCTTTGTTACTTATTCTTTCTGGCCATCTGATCTTCAGTATGCAGCCGGAGTAGGCGGCAGCTGTTGATGAATATCTGCCGTTTATTGGAAATGCTTTTTGTGACTTGTACTACTAGTCTTTTAAATTTATAAGCCACAAGTAGATGAAAATCTTACAATGCTAACATTTTCATGTTGTTTGGCTATAAGTGGATGCCGACGAAATATACCCATTTATTCATTAACAAGAACAAGACATACATCGGCGAAGAAGGAGTATTTCTTTTCAACGACTTTATCATCAAGCTGTACAGTCGTATTTACACACGGTAAAGTGACAGATAATTCCACTAAAAAGAGAGTTGCTCAGTCAATATGCCAAATATGAAATAGGTGGAGGTGGTAGTATTTGCTCAAGTGGAAAAGATAGCAAATGGGTCACTGAATAAGGAACGAATTGATCACAAGTGGTAAGATAGACGAGTGTTGTCATAGAATTGTCAATGAATAGGAATGGATTGATAGTAAATAGTGAAATATGGGTCAAATGTTGTCAATGAAGTGAAAATTGGTGATAATGATGCTGATAATAAAGGAGAGGTACACCAAAATGAACGAAATGAATTGTTAAGGTCAAGGTAGAGGAAGTGGTTTCACAAAACATTTTTGAATGCAAAAGTTCCGGTTTTTGTTCATTTACAGCTAATGCTTCGTGGAAACGTAAACCTTTGGAGTAGTACAATTTAACTTTGTAAATTATTTTTAAGGATGAATCTCGCGATGCTGAGTGTCCACATTCAACAAGGTGTTAACATATGCATGAAGTCATTTTCCTTTGCTCGTCTCTGGTAAGCCAAACCGGGTAGTGTTCAGCAACACGTTTTCAGAGGGCCCGCTTACAACGTTCAACATAGTCAGCTTCAGGGGAGCATGTGAACTTGTAGATACAAATAGATGTGGACATAAATGGAAGCCTATACTTCACGCATTGACGAGTCAAACGGTGGCTGGAGAATATCAATCTCAGTCTAGCAGCATAGAAGTTAGTATTGATTCAACTTGACAGACGATTATTCAGCACTTCGGCTATGATGAATCCTTTGTATTCTAGCTCAGAGTCATACTTAAGTATAGGCTATGATGATAGTAATTCAGTTAGTGAATGAACATATCTTGAAAAGGGAATAGCACTAAAAATTATCATTTCATATCATTAAAGTTAAATATGAATGAAGAACATCTAAATTTATAGCAAAATGTACTTCAACACTGATACAAAAATTTTATTCTATTTAGTTTGTTTAAGTTTTCAGATGAGATATTGTAACTTATATACATATGTTAGTTGCAGTGATAAGTTCAGTATAAAATGTATCATTCAACTGATTATCAGATATATGTAGCATAAAGAAAATTGTTTACATTATCATTACTTTTATTATCCTAATGGCTTCAACTTTTGGCTATTTCATGGTGAAATATCCACTTTATTTCTATTCTTTTGATAAATTCATACTGAACTTAGTACTAAACACTCTCTTGATATATTGTAATTTCACCAACAAAGTGCCTTCATCTTGCTGTATACAACAACTACGCCTGATGATTAATCTAAGACCAAATGCTTATACCTTGGACTACCAAAAAAACTTTTCGCCGATTATATTCCATCGAATTCTTCACTTTTCATTATGTTTTAATCTTTTAAATGTCTTCTGAACGTCTCTATTACACTCTCTCGTAACCTGGCTCCACAACTGCACACAACCTCTCATTTCTTCCCCACATCATCTCCTCCATGTCACCCCCCAACCACCACCATCAAACGCCCAACTCACCGTCTCCCATTTCGCCTCCACTCGAGTGCCTGGCCTGACACGTGATGTCCACACATGCTCTTCTCACTGCATATCGAGTCAAATCCATCTCCACTTACTTCTGCATATATTTGTTGAGTGATAGATTCTCTGTAGGTTCGTCACCAGCCAGCCACAGTGAGTTCCTTCTTGCTTATTCTTATTATTCTGGCCATCTCATCGATCTTCAGTATCGAGACAGCATAGGTGGAAGTTGTTGATGAATATCTGTAGTTTGTTGGAAATGCTTTTTGTAACGCATCAAATCTCTTACCCATCATACAGAAGCACTGACTTCACTGAAGTTGGTGTTGAAAATGTGGATGTTGTTGACTCTTATTGCAGGCTGAGTGTAGTGCAGAATATCTCTACACTGGTTTCAAGTTAATGAATGCCAGTCTTGCTGTGTTTTCGATCCTGATTGGTTTTGACGTCCTCATACATGCTGCTGCCTGTAGTTGATACGGATGTAATGATTATTTCTTTTAAAAATGTTGTACGAAAAACAGGTTTGTTGAGATGTATTCCATGCTGTATCTAATATACTGTTTGTAATAAAGTGATTATTATTATGATTATGATTAGGTAGCACAGTTCACACAACATGCCACCGCAATCGACAAACATATATAAGTTAATAATTCCCATTGTAACATTAAGAACAAGATATTCAACGAAGAGACTCTTTTCAACGAATTTATTTTCAAGCTGTACAATCGTATATATACATGGTATTTGGAAAAAATTATATCCTGTGAGGAAAACTAAACACTATATGGTGATGACAATAATAATAGAGCGGGTGATGACATAGGCATTTATGATTATAATAACAATTGAAGTGCGAACAAATAGATTATGTAATATATGGAATGGTACATAGAGAGTATATAACTCAGAAGGGGGTGAAAAAATTGTTGAAAATGGTAAATCAATTAAGTATTATGTAATGGTATTAGACAAATTAGACAAGATGAAGTCAATGTTTTCTAAAAGGATTAAGACAATTAAGTGAAACAACACCGGAAACTAGTTGAAGTGAAGGCGATTATAATAACAATAATAGTGATAAAGGAAGGAAACAAAGGTTAAATTAACAAAGTGGGAGGGGGAGCTAATGGGGTGGGAAAATGTTATGGCCATGATAAAGACGGTGACTGCACATACTTCTTTTGTACACACAGATCAGGTGTTAGTTCATGAATAGCTAAAGCCTCCACTGTTTTAAGGAGTTGAAAATGAAGAGAACGTGGGAGGTTTGGGCGAATTTGATAAATAATTTCAAAGTCATCGTCTGGATTTGTTGTGTGATGGAAGTCAATCAAATGTACTAGAATCGAACTTCTAACAGACTTTCTTTCACCTTTATAAAACCAAGCAGGCACATGTTCTCGTATACGTGTAGAAAGCATTCTCTGGCTACAGACGATGTACCTTGCTCCACAAGAGCAGGTGAACTGGTAGATGCACATAGAGGCTGCCAAACGAGGAAGCTTGTCTTTGACGCAGGTGGAGAATAGGTTGCGGCTGGTAAAAGTCAACTGGAGTCTTGCTGCGAAGAAAGTCCTATTGATTGATCTGGTAAGACGATTCTTCAGTACATCCGATGCTACAGCTTGAAAATAAATTCGTTGAAAAGAGTCTCTTCGCTGAATATCTTGTTCTTAATATATAAGTTATACGATTATGCAAAAATGTAGACATTCTAATTGGAATGATGGTTTCGCCTCTGTTCTTCAGTACGTTCGCTGCAAATCTGCCTATAACTGTGTTAGTAAATTCGATTGAATAACTGTAAGATTTGATGAGTAGTTATTTAAAAGAAATTTTTTTTTGTTGACATTTGTCGTTTGACGAAATATATCAAAATACACCAACGAACTAAGCGTTCTTTGATCAGGAAATTTTTAATACTAGAATTTCTGTTAACAGATTGAATGTAACCATAAGCTGAGGAGTGAGTACTTTTAAGCTAGAAAAATCTAAGCACACTTGAACGCATTAAATTAACATTAAATGATTAAGAAATCACTGGCGGCCTACTTAAATTTTTCGCTACCGATAAGTTTTCATGGAATTCATTTCATCAATGTCATCGCCTCCAATTTATTTTAATCCTATGAGTATATCTGTAAAACGAGTCAAATACTATTGCGCATTTTTTAAAATGGTTTCAAACTGCTGTCTTTCTTTAAACTAACAAGAAAATAAAGAGCAAATGTTACGCCGGTAAGAGATTAGCTTATAAAAATGCAAAGAAATCCAGTATATTACTATTCCTTAGATGACTACGACAAGCTGAAGATCTCAGTCTAAGCTGAATAAACAACCTTCATCAAAACTAACGCTCGATTTTCGATTCATTCACCAGTCCAAACTAGACGCCAATGTAATATTAGGCATATATTTTACTCTGTGGCTTTTATTATTACTGTTGTTATTAATAATATTCAGGTAACTGATTACTTAGCTTAGAGATAGTATAAAAGGAAAGAATTTGGTGATTTTACATTGTACCTTCTCAGTAACTGCTATGTAATATTCAGCTAGGTTTCTACGTTCTGCCAACCAAACTGACCTCGGTCAGCTAGTCAGGCTTATGGCATTTGACTTCATTGACATGTATGAAATTCGGTAGACTAAGTTATCTTATCTAGTAGGTTTCGCAAATCGGAAAGCTGTGGTGGTAAGCTTATTACATACTACTACATCATTGTTTTACCTTGACATTCTCCTTCATCTTGTCTGAGACCTTGAAGTATTACACAAATGTTTCCTTAGGGTTGTACATATGATCAAATGTTTTCGAATAGGTAGCGTTCAAACGGTGTTCCATAATACTTTCGTCTAACTAAGCATTCATGTGTTTTAGGTGTTCTTCAATTTATTTACTTGACTGTCTTCGATACACTATTCCAGGATACAATGAAAGTGGACATTGAACAAGCTTTATACAGCATCATTTTTACTTTGTATGATGTGGAGTTCAGGTCTATGAGCTTGGGTTCACCCACTGTGAAACTTTGAAGTACCCATCACTGCATTTATAGTTCAATGTTAACGGAGTCGAACAACAAATGAAACTAGATTTCTTGGAACCAACTGCACTCGCAGATTAGATTTATTTCGAGTATGGTCCTACAGAAGGTAAGCCTTTCTAGCCAAAAACTGCATAATGTTGAATCAGCTTACTGAGACAGTGCAATTTAACAACCTTGTGAATAGGGTCTACCGATAAATAAAAAGGAGAATGAAACCAGTCAGTACTAACAAAATAGTATGTGAAGAGTGATGGAGTATATACACTCACCTGCTTGAATTTCAACTACCTTTCATTCCGTAGTCAGTATATTCATACTACTCCTTCCTGCAGTCACGTCCACTTTCTGTTTCTGTTTACTACTTTATCCAGATGTATAGACTATGTAGATGTATTCACAACAATAGAAACTGTAGAATCAACTTCAAAGGAGGCAATCTCAAATCAGTTATCTCAATTACCTGAACAACATCAACAAATATCACGAACATTTTCTACTAATTTGTACAGACCAGCTGATTATAGAATATGTGGAGATTTGAATGATTTTCCACAGAATGAATTTTACTCAGTCAACTCAGTTTTATTCCTTATATTTCATACAGCTCCTAAAAGTGTGAAAGTAAAGCATGGTCAACAAATAGGATTCACTGGCCAGTTTACATTCGAGCTAAAAAGTAAGTTAAGAGATATTATGCCTTGAAAATACTTCTATGAATCACTGTTTGCCGTGACAGAGCTTGAGAATGATTGAATGAAGTTTAGTGATTGTCAGATATTATTGTAAGATATAAGATTAGATGTATTTCATGATTCTTATTAGTTTGATGAGGGCAAACATGGTGGAGCCAAACACAACTTTTGTTTCATTGCAGCCGTCAACAGAGCGTTCCTTCAATCTTGAGGGAAATGATGATTTTTGCAAAGTATAGTATGCATCACTCAGTACTGCAGTTGAAGACATTACCGTTGAGTTAGTCAAACCGCGACTGACTTCCTGCAGGATTTTATTAGATGCATTGATTACTCATTAGAAAATAGCCAACTTCATATTATTTAATGCTATATGCTTGACGAATTCCACATTAGATCTGCTTTTTAATTCGTCACACAGAGATAAAATATTATTTATTAGAAGATCTATCGCGCACAACGTGTTGGTAATGATGATATGAAAGACTCCAATATGATTTGACGTTGATACATGCCCGTAAAAACACCGTACAAAAAGTGGATGGATCAGTCTTACAACGTCAGTGCTAATTAACTGAAATGAGTTGTAAGGGGGTCATCAATACTCCTTGTAGCAGCAAGCGTATTTGTAGAGAGTCGGTGACAACTTTTAGAACATTTAGCCCAGGTTTGGAACAACTCTGAAGATTTTTAGATAATGAAAGTAATTTAAGATATACAGACTGATGTCGATATAAAATTATTTTCCTATGAGTTAAAGTTGGCTGAATGAGAATCAAACGTGTAAGAAAATAAAAATGAAAAAAGTCGGCTAAACTAACACTAATGTCTACAAAATACCCACAAACTGAAAGAGAAACATATTTCTCTTCCAACCAATAAACACTCAGTTGCACAGAACTATAACTTAATATCCCAGCTATGATGAGAATAGATCAGGATCATCGACGCTCTATCAGATTTTCACATGCACAGTCAAGAAGTACATTAGAAAATAGAATTATGTACTCATGTTATACTTGAAAAGTGTGTCAGTAAGTAACAGTCAAATCGTGTATTTCATTTCGATACCATATTCTCATTTGGGAATAACGTCATCGACTATGATTTAAGCCTTTAAAACTGACATTTTAGAAATACTTTTTTCAAAGCTGATGGGTTAAATGTGACTTTTCCTATGTATTTGAGTACGGAAGGGTAGTTTCTCTGGATAGAAAAGTTTAAAAAAAATACCTGAACACCAATCGGTTTAAGATATCTCTAAGATCTACTATCAAGGTTTCGATTCTGTCAATGGATTTAAAGTTATCGCAGATTGTCTGAAGTTCCACCAGCTTTTCACTTCACAGCTTAACGTTCTGTTACATCTAAACAGTTATGGTCAAAATGCTACTTCCACATATCTCAAATTATTATTCAAAAGTTCCTGTTTTAGTATTTTCAAGTCTGTAGTCATCAGATCTCCGAAAAATGTCTTATTGTAATATCCATTAACTAAAGTGAAAGCGTGCTTTGTCTTACACTATTCCCACTCTTGCAGAGACAAAGTTCTTTTTCCTGATCAGTTTTCTAAATTTCAGCTTGTTAATCACAGAGTTTCTCCTTCCTGTCAGTTTATTTGGTAGAGTTTGTGGTAGTGAAAGGAGGTGGAGTAATATATTATAAGCACCTTTATGGGTCCATCGTTTTATTTGTATACGTGGTGAGAAAACTAACAATTAGTGGATAAGACGGCAGGTATTTTACACGATGGTGTGTAATAGGTAGATAAAAACAAGTCAAAATGAAAATACACTTACTTCAGAGTAATAACTAAAGTAGAATTTTAGGCTAAAACGCTTGAAAATGTGTGAATGAACACAGTTAGAAGGCATCTTCTATAGCACAGACCTAGTATTTCACCAGTTTGTTAATAAACACGGTTAATAGGCCAATACTACACGCTACCGCATTGAAAACACCAGAAGATAGCTATCTCTTCCACAATTGGGAACATGAACGTAGGCACGAATTCGGTACCCAGTTTAAGAACCGGTTCAAGCATTGCTCTGACCGTCAAAAGTAGCATAGCCAGTATGCGTTCAGCAAGTGAATAAAAGAAGGGGAAATGGTGGTTAGTAGAGCATGAAGATTATACTGTCTTAAAAATTATGTAGCAGAATTCCTATCTCGTGCAGACAATAGCACGGCTGTCAACTTACCAGGTGAGCAAATTAAGCCGATGAGAGCAGTGGTGAATACGAAAAAGGTGAAGTGTTGTTAGTAGGAAAGTAAGCAAATAGAATCATGAAGTTGGAAATCAAGGTCATCCCTTCATTATTTTGAGCTGGATTGTGGTCAGAAGAGGTGTTCAGTTATTGCATTAGATTGTGTGCTCATGCACACTGCTGAAATGTCATTCAATAATATGACACATTGATTCATGTGTAAAGTGAGTGGGTTATTTGACACTCGTGAAGCAAAAATGTGTTTGTTGGAAATGCGTTTTGTAACGCACCAAATCTCCTACCCATCACACAGAAGCACTGACTTCACTGATGTTTGTGCTAAAAATGTGGATGTTGTTGACTCTTATTGCAGACTGAGTGTAGTGTAGAATATCTCTACACTGGTTTCAAGTTAATGAATGCCAGTCTTGCTGTGTTTTCGATCCTGATTGGTTTTGACGTCCTCATACATGCTGCTGCCTGTAGTTGATACGGATGTAATGATTATTTCTTTTAAAAATGTTGTACGAAAAACAAGTTTGTTGAGATGTATTCCATGCTGTATCTAATATACTGTTTGTAATAAAGTGATTATTATTATGATTATGATTAGGTAGCACAGTTCACACAACATGTCACCGCAATCGACAAACATACATAAGTTATACGATTATACAAAAATGTAGACATTCTAATTGGAATGATGGTTTCGCCTCTGTTCTTCAGTACGTTCGCTGCAAATCTGCCTATAACTGTGTTAGTAAATTCGATTGAATAACTGTAAGATTTGATGAGTAGTTATTTAAAAGAAATTTTTTTTTGTTGACATTTGTCGTTTGACGAAATATATCAAAATACACCAACAAACTAAGCGTTCTTTGATCAGGAAATTTTTACTGCTAGAATTTCTGTAAACAGATTGAATATAACCATACGCTGAAGAGTGAGTACTTTTAAGCTACAAAAATCTGAGCACACCTGAACGCATTAAATTAGCATTAAATATGATTAAGAAATCACTGGCGGCCTACTTAAATTTTTCGCTACCGATAAGTTTTCATGGAATTCATTTCATCAATGTCATCGCCTCCAATTTATTTTAATCCTATGAGTATATCTGTAAAACGAGTCAAATACTATTGCGCATTTTTTAAAATGGTTTCAAACTGCTGTCTTTCTTTAAACTAACAACAAAACAAAGAACAAATGTTACACCGGTAAGAGATTACCTTATAAAAATGCAAAGAAATCCAGTATATTACTATACTTTAGATGACTATGTCAAGCTGGAGATCTCAGTCTAAGCTGAATAAACAACCTTCATCAAAACTAACGCTCGATTTTCGATTCATTCACCAGTCCAAACTAGACGCCAATGTAATATTAGGCATATATTTTACTCTGTGGCTTTTATTATTACTGTTGTTATTAATAATATTCAGGTAACTGATTACTTAGCTTAGAGATAGTATAAAAGGAAAGAATTTGGTGATTTTACATTGTACCTTCTCAGTAACTGCTATGTAATATTCAGCTAGGTTTCTACGTTCTGCCAACCAAACTGACCTCGGTCAGCTAGTCAGGCTTATGGCATTTGACTTCATTGACATGTATGAAATTCGGTAGACTAAGTTATCTTATCTAGTAGGTTTCGCAAATCGGAAAGCTGTGGTGGTAAGCTTATTACATACTACTACATCATTGTTTTACCATGACATTCTCCCTCATCTTGTCTGAGACCTTGAAGTATTACACAAATGTTTCCTTAGGGTTGTACATATGATCAAATGTTTTCGAATAGGTAGCGTTCAAATGGTGTTCCATAATACTTTCGTCTAACTAAGCATTCATGTGTTTTAGGTGTTCTTCAATTTATTTACTTGACTGTCTTCGATACACTATTCCAGGATACAATGAAAGTGGACATTGAACAAGGTTTATGCAGCATCATTTTTACTTTGTATGATGTGGAGTTCAGGTCTATGAGCGTGAGTTTACCCATTGTGGAACTTTGAAGTACCCATCACTGCATTTATAGTTCAGTTTTAACGGAATCGAACAGCAAATGGAACTGGATTTCTTGGAATCAGCTGCATTCGCATACTAGATTTATTTCGAGTATGGTCCTACAGAAGGTAAGCCTTTCTAGCCAAAAACTGCATAATGTTGAATCAGCTTACTGAGACAGTGCAATTTAACAACCTTGTGAATAGGGTCTACCGATAAATAAAAAGGAGAATGAAACCGGTCAGTACTAACAGAATAGTATGTGAAGAGTGATGGAGTATATACACTCACCTGCTTGAATTTCAACTACCTTTCATTCCGTAGTCAGTATATTCATACTACTCCTTCCTGCAGTCACGTCCACTTTCTGTTTCTGTTTACTACTTTATCCAGATGTATAGACTATGTAGATGTATTCACAACAATAGAAACTGTAGAATCAACTTCAAAGGAGGCAATCTCAAATCAGTTATCTCAATTACCTGAACAACATCAACAAATATCACGAACATTTTCTACTAATTTGTACAGACCAGCTGATTATAGAATATGTGGAGATTTGAATGATTTTCCACAGAATGAATTTTACTCAGTCAACTCAGTTTTATTCCTTATATTTCATACAGCTCCTAAAAGTGTGAAAGTAAAGCATGGTCAACAAATAGGATTCACTGGCCAGTTTACATTCGAGCTAAAAAGTAAGTTATGAGATATTATGCCTTGAAAATACTTCTATGAATCACTGTTTGCCGTGACAGAGCTTGAGAATGATTGAATGAAGTTTAGTGATTGTCAGATATTATTGTAAGATATAAGATTAGATGTATTTCATGATTCTTATTAGTTTGATGAGGGCAAACATGGTGGAGCCAAACACAACTTTTGTTTCATTGCAGCCGTCAACAGAGCGTTCCTTCAATCTTGAGGGAAATGATGATTTTTGCAAAGTATAGTATGCATCACTCAGTACTGCAGTTGAAGACATTACCGTTGAGCTAGTCAAACCGCGACTGACCTCCTGCAGGATTTTATTAGATGCATTGATTACTCATTAGAAAATAGCCAACTTCATATTATTTAATGCTATATGCTTGACGAATTCCACATTAGATCTGCTTTTTAATTCGTCACACAGAGATAAAATATTATTTATTAGAAGATCTATCGCGCACAACGTGTTGGTAATGATGATATGAAAGATTCCAATATGATTTGACGTTGATACATGCCCGTAAAAACACCGTACAAAAAGTGGATGGATCAGTCTTACAACGTCAGTGCTAATTAACTGAAATGAGTTGTAAGGGGGTCATCAATACTCCTTGTAGCAGCAAGCGTATTTGTAGAGAGTCGGTGACAACTTTTAGAACATTTAGCCCAGGTTTGGAACAACTCTGAAGATTTTTAGATAATGAAAGTAATTTAAGATATACAGACTGATGAGTTAAAGTTGGCTGAATGAGAATCAAACGTGTAAGAAAATAAAAATGAAAAAAGTCGGCTAAACTAACACTAATGTCTACGAAATACCCACAAACTGAAAGAGAAACATATTTCTCTTGCAACCAATAAACACTCAGTTGCACAGAACTATAACTTAATATCCCAGCTATGGTGAGAATAGATCAGGATCATCGACGCTCTATCAGATTTTCACATGCACAGTCAAGAAGTACATTAGAAAATAGAATTATGTACTCATGTTATACTTGAAAAGTGTGTCAGTAAGTAACAGTCAAATCGTGTATTTCATTTCGATACCATATTCTCATTTGGGAATAACGTCATCGACTATGATTTAAGCCTTTAAAACTGACATTTTAGAAATACTTTTTTCAAAGCTGATGGGTTAAATGTGACTTTTCCTATGTATTTGAGTACGGAAGGGTAGTTTCTCTGGATAGAAAAGTTTAAAAAAAATACCTGAACACCAATCGGTTTAAGATATCTCTAAGATCTACTATCAAGGTTTCGATTCTGTCAATGGATTTAAAGTTATCGCAGATTGTCTGAAGTTCCACCAGCTTTTCACTTCACAGCTTAACGTTCTGTTACATCTAAACAGTTATGGTCAAAATGCTACTTCCACATATCTCAAATTATTATTCAAAAGTTCCTGTTTTAGTATTTTCAAGTCTGTAGTCATCAGATCTCCGAAAAATGTCTTATTGTAATATCCATTAACTAAAGTGAAAGCGTGCTTTGTCTTACACTATTCCCACTCTTGCAGAGACAAAGTTCTTTTTCCTGATCAGTTTTCTAAATTTCAGCTTGTTAATCACAGAGTTTCTCCTTCCTGTCAGTTTATTTGGTAGAGTTTGTGGTAGTGAAAGGAGGTGGAGTAATATATTATAAGCACCTTTATGGGTCCATCGTTTTATTTGTATACGTGGTGAGAAAACTAACAATTAGTGGATAAGACGGCAGGTATTTTACACGATGGTGTGTAATAGGTAGATAAAAACAAGTCAAAATGAAAATACACTTACTTCAGAGTAATAACTAAAGTAGAATTTTAGGCTAAAACGCTTGAAAATGTGTGAATGAACACAGTTAGAAGGCATCTTCTATAGCACAGACCTAGTATTTCACCAGTTTGTTAATAAACACGGTTAATAGGCCAATACTACACGCTACCGCATTGAAAACACCAGAAGATAGCTATCTCTTCCACAATTGGGAACATGAACGTAGGCACGAATTCGGTACCCAGTTTAAGAACCGGTTCAAGCATTGCTCTGACCGTCAAAAGTAGCATAGCCAGTATGCGTTCAGCAAGTGAATAAAAGAAGGGGAAATGGTGGTTAGTAGAGCATGAAGATTATACTGTCTTAAAAATTATGTAGCAGAATTCCTATCTCGTGCAGACAATAGCACGGCTGTCAACTTACCAGGTGAGCAAATTAAGCCGATGAGAGCAGTGGTGAATACGAAAAAGGTGAAGTGTTGTTAGTAGGAAAGTAAGCAAATAGAATCATGAAGTTGGAAATCAAAGTCATCCCTTCATTATTTTGAGCTGGATTGTGGTCAGAAGAGGTGTTCAGTTATTGCATTAGATTGTGTGCTCATGCACACTGCTGAAATGTCATTCAATAATATGACACATTGATTCATGTGTAAAGTGAGTGGGTTATTTGACACTCGTGAAGCAAAAATGTGTTTCAATCATTTGTGGAATGCTAACTGACATGCCTGGTATGTAGAAGGATTACATGTGTACAACCGGTTGGCTGCTATTCGTTTACGCCGATTTGGATCCTTCTTCATAAATGAGCTCTCCGGAAAGTTGAATGGTCGAGATGCATGGAAATACAGTGTTTTCACTTTCCTTGTTTATATTGTGTTCACTTTCTGCATTAAGGAACACGGTGTTTTGATATGAAAGGGATAAATTGAACTGATTTCCTGTGTGGAAGCAGATGCGAATGAAAAGAAAGATTGTGTTATCAGCCTATTTCTCTCCGTTCATTTTCTTTTGTTTTGAGTATAGTCATTTTGTCTCCAGTGTTGCATTATTTTGTGCAGAGGTAAGTATTACTATTCTCTGATGGTCCAAATTTGACTTGGGTTTACTGATATTGATTCAGCGGTGGTTTAGCATGTCAAATCAACACGGATTACGTACAGCAGGAATGACTCTGTACTCGTATCAGATGTATGTAAAGTCCGGCTATCCATTTCATAAAGAAGGAGGGAGAATTATAACTATGTGAACCGTATCTCAAAGTTGGGGATTTATATTGTTGTAATTGAGGACAACAAATTGTATCGAATATGCTAGTAAGTAAATAACAATACTTGATTGTGAGAAGCATACAAACGAGAATCGAACATTGAACTTTTCGCAGCTAATTTCCTAGACAAAAATTTATAAAGTAAGGATAAAATACTTTGAGATACGATGTTTTAGGGAAAGCCATCTCACTTGGTATTCGTGGACGTACGTATTTCAAAATCTGAGTGTAACTCGCAAACGCTCACTGTTTCAGTGTATCAAATTGTTTGACCTCTATTGGCACATACGTTATTATGCGGATGCCTTGATATTGCTCGATTGTTAATTTGGGTAACTTGTACTATGAATTACAAGTGTATCAATAAACAGTAATATGAACGATTCATTCTACTTTGGCATAATGGAAAACGCCTTGGAACATGGAGCGGTGCGTACGAGGATCGAGTCTCAGTGGGAACAACGTAACACATTTTCTGGATTCTACTGCTAGCCACAACCAAACAAATTACTTTAATACTCACATATCTTCCCAAATTTACACTTTATGGTTTGAAAATTTAACTTAGATGGTTAGTAAACCTCTTGATTAGTTTTCAACATTCATAAATGATTAGATCATCATTATGCAAAGAAAAACAAAGTCACTGCTTTCTTTTCGAAAATGAATGTTTGTTTTATTTCCGCTTGAAAAGATAATATAGATTTAGTGATGTTTCGTCACGTTGTCTGCGTTCTCATGTTCTTATAATTTTCAGTTTGTCGGCTATTATCTTACACCTACTAATAAAAGATAGTGCATGGTAGTGGAATTCTTGATACGCGTTTCGACCCACATGGGACCCGTCAGCTACATGTACTTCCTACCCACTGAGTAATGTTGTCCCCATTAAGACTCATACTCAGGACTAATCGCTTCAAACACCGAACAGATACCTTAAACTGACGAGACAAGATGTGAACCTTGGAATCAGCTGCCGGTTACTGTTCATGAATAATATCAAATTTGAAGATATCGGTAATGTCGAGAAATACTTACAGGGCACCAGAAATATGGGCTGAAAAATAAAATAATTGCTAAATCACGTGTAAAATAAAAGTCTTTCAAGTTAAATTTGAGTTGTCTGTAACTCATTTAACCTAAACAAAGTGGCTTCTTTCACCCACTAACTAGGCAGCATCGTTTCAACTACAGGCGGTGGTAGCACAGACGAGGATGTCAGAACCAGTCAGGATTGAAAACACAGCAAAACTGGCCGTCATTAACTTGAAACCAGTGTAGAGATATTCTGCACTACACTCAGCCTGCAATAAGCGTCAACAACATTCACATTTTCAACACCAACATCAGTGAAGTCAGTGCTTCTGTATGATGGGTAAGAGATTTGATGCGTTACAAAAAGCATTTCCAACAAACTACAGATATTCATCAACAACTTCCACCTATGCTGTCTCGATACTGAAGATCGATGAGATGGTCAGAATAATAAGAATAAGCAAGAAGGAACTCACTGTGGCTGGCTGGTGACGAACCTACCGAGAATCTATCACTCAACAAATATATGCAGAAGTAAGTGGAGATGGATTTGACTCGGTATGCAGTGAGAAGAGCATGTGTGGACATCATGCGTCAGGCCAGGTACTCGAGTGGAGGCGAAATGGGAGACGGTGAGTTGGGCGTTTGATGGTGGTGGTGGGGGAGTGACATGAAGGAGATGATGTGGGGAAGAAATGAGAGGTTGTGTGCAGTTGTGGAGCCAGGTTGCGATGATTGCAGAGAAGAGAGTGTAATGGAGACGTGCTACTGAATGAGTATGTTTGACTAGGAACCCAAGGGACAAATAATAATAGTTATAATAACCTTGTTGTCTTGAATGAAATCATAAGATTGGAATTTTGCATAAAGATATGCACCCTTATATTTCATAGAATCAGGATAGTAGTTTGATGAAAAAGAATTTTTTTTCAAGTATAAA